AAGACTGTACTAGATGTGAAATGATTGCATGAGAACTCTGATGAAGAACCTAAGGAATAGATTTGTAATCTTGGCCCTCAAAGGACTCACCAATTCTAACAAGGGATTTCACTCTTTAACCTCTCCCAATAATTCTCCAATTGGATACACCAAATGAGAATAACAAACCTTTATTTATAGCACCTCGAAGGACCTTCTCACTGTTAATGAGTTGCTTAGAATGTCTTGAAATCTCGTCATGAGAAACAGTCAGCCTTGTCAAGGGGCATTTCCTCTTCCACCCATTTATTTCAACCCGTCCGTTCTCAGATTATTTCTGCCCATTTCGATCTGCCCTTAAATGGGTCATTTCAGTCTGTGAGAATTGCTCCACAATTGGACCAGTACTACCTCTCACTGAATAGCTTCTCCTCCTCTTTATCATTAAGTGACGCCGCGTAAATAGATGAGTCACATTGAACAGCTGCAGCTACTTTGACATCAGGAGATATCGGGTGGATTACAACTTCGTGGTCGTTGCGGATTAGGAAGCCAGGCTATACGCTAGGTACAACTGCCGCGACTCATCCCAGCACCTCCACAAAGAGACCCACTGTTGCGGCCCCAATAGTTATAAGAGCATCCTCATGTTCTGCTGAGCTCGATCCTCTTTGCTGAGATCCATGTAAAAAATTGTTTCCCAACAAGGCAGCTTCTGCCAAAAACGTTTGCGTGAAGTGACCTGAAAGAATTTATTTTTTTCTTCTTCTTTTTGTGTCCATATTCTCCACGCTATTCATTTCACCTGTCTCACTTCGTACTGAAGCCAACCTGTCGCTGCGGATTCATGTTACGTAGTGTAGAAGTTTGTATAGAAGAGAATTAATTTATCATCCACTGTTTACAACATACTAGAAGGTACGAACAGGTCTTGCACACTCTAAGAATGTCTGGACGTTACCCTTTCCGGGTAAGCAAACAACAGCAGACAAGCTCACATAAGTAAAAGGAACCCTTGGCCTATCGAATCGGAAGGAAATTCCAATTAGAAAAATGCGACATCGCTCGGAATGAAGTTTTTCAAATTAAAATCGGGGCACATTCTTGAATCCTTACTCGCGGACCAAATGGCCGTCGTCGCGCGCTACTTTACTACTCTTTCTTCCTTTCCTGTTAAAGTTCATGAACCAGCTCGGAGTTCTTCTGTAAATATATATCATTTCAGCCAATGATATGGGCTGGGAACAACATTTGTGAAGTCTGTCGAACAAAGTATGTGTTACAGATTAATGAGTTGCTTACTAAAGTAAACAGACGATATTCCTGGTTGTTTTCTAAAACCTGCCGTCGAAAGCCCCCGTTGACGAAACGGACGAAAGGCTTTTCTAGGCCATACGCTCAGAGTCTTGCGGTACTGTTCTACTGTTTTCCTTTGTCGATTGAAGGCTACTCCGTCAGGCTACGTTTCGGAGAGCCAGTTGGTATACTTGTCGAAACGAACGATTATCAAAACACCTTCACGAATAAATCAGCATCCCTAAGTGTTTTTCAGTCGGCATAGAAATTTAAGAAAACGAGAACAATTGACTTCGTCCTCATAAGTGGTTCAAGTCACGTCAAAATCGAAGTACCTCGAGATTTCCTTTTTTAATCTAGTCAACGTTATCATCCGTGAAACGACAGGCAGCTGGCTACCACAGACCAGTCCTTTTGATTTTGACCCCGTGAGGAGAGGCAGGAAGTTGGACAGGAGCGGCAAGTGTTATCCACGTCTACCCCTTTCTCAGTCATACCTACGTCATACAATGCTATTCGAAGGTTTTTTTCCCGTGAAAACCGTCTACAGTTCTAGATTATTCAGGAGGCACGACCAATTCAACGGATACTATTGGTATCTACACGTAATGTCTAGATTTTTCCCTCTTTAGGATGTCAGTGAGAACGGTCCCTATAAGACCGTCATTAATGTCGGGGATGAAATGCTGCATGGTTGATCGAGGGGAAAGTAGTAAATGAAGACGTTCTTCCATGGCGCAAGGATACGGCGAACATTGGATTGAACCGATTTCGTGAGCTGAGGGAAAGTACTCTTGGAGACGAAATGAAAAAATTGCGATCAGTAGATTGGGGTCGACCTGAATCCTGTATGAAAGTTATGCATTTTCCTTGTGGTCGTGAGTTGATTATTTTAACGTCACGTGACGTTTGAGCAAATAGTTCATTTTAAGACGACTACATTCCTTTGTACTCTCAACACGATAAGTGCCGGACTCAACATTACCTTCGTGTAAATAGGCATATAAAGTAGTCCTATATCGGCCCTTGCGAGGATAAACAAGGGAGAGAATAACATCTATCAAAGCTGACCGGGAAACTGAACTCGACAAGGGGGCGACTGAATGAGAACCCTCCCCAGAGAGGTTACCCAGACGTAATTCTCTTCCGATCTCCCACGGGCCAACTTGAAGCACACGGAAGCCAGCTGGTCGACGAACCGCCAAATAAGACCGAGAGAAAACATTGGGCCAAATTAAAATTAAATATATAACGGATGATAGCAATTGACATCACGCTTCCTGACGACGGCATTATAGAAGTCCACGCACTCCTGGTCCGCCAGATCGTAGTTTTGTGATCCCAGCTGGCGGTTTTCTACAATCATTCTCCTATAAATTGGACAGGGGGCGACGGCGAGGCGCTCACAACCCGAACTGCACCTGCATACCGGAACCCTGAGATTCTCCATCGGCCCTTCCCACGCTATGGCAACCACCGGCAGGACCCCGACAGCCGCGGCAGCTGCCGTTCTCGTCTTGCTTATCGCAGCATCGGTCGTTGCGCCGGCATCTGCCAGCACGCTGACGGCCTTCTCGGGACCAGGGTGCGCCGGGAGAACCAAGGACGTCAACGGCTGCGGGTGCTTCCGCCTCACCGGCTACCAGGGAGGGTACCACTTCGTCTTCACCGAGGGCCAGAAGGCAAGGCTTTACACCGGCTCCCACTGCGACGGCCCCTCCGTCGGCCTCCGCAAGGAGACCCGCAACTGCGGCCATTACAATTTCAAGAGCATCAACATGATATGCTGAGCGTCTCGAGTAAATGTATAGACACTAAATAAACAGCAAGTGTCGATACGGGGACACCAGCCCGTATCGGACGGCCTAGGTCTGATGTTTACTGTACTTGCGACCCACTTATGCTCTCAGCACTGGCTGATCAGCTGGTCTGCCACTCGTCCGTATAAACAAATCAGAGAGGTAGCCATTCGGTACTCGCCTGTGTGATGCGGAAAAGATACTAAATAGCGAAACTCTAATACTCGTCAACCCAACAAGCCCTCCCTTCTCTAAAGCGGCTTTCCTCGTGCGGGAACTAGCAAGGCAAATATGCTGGGTTCCCCGGCATGATCTGATAAGAAGACACTACCTACTCGCGACGTCTTACGTCGGACCTACGAGGGACGACGGGAAGCGAGGTCCCGGTGGTTTATGCGCCACCATTCCCTCTTTCATCCTTTGCGCCAGACAACACGCTACGTGCTCATCTTCGATCAGGTCAAGTTCAACAAAACGCAACGTGGCGAGAAGCTCGAGAAAGGCCCTGTTAAGACGTAAACACGCCAGACTGTGCCTTCGTCGCCGGCCGAGCACGTTGGTTCGCAATTCAAAGAAAAGAGATATTAATAAATTCAAGGCAAGAAAGAACCATTTTTGACATTTTGTTTGAATACCAAATAACAGCCGAAAGTAAAACAATCGATGTTGAACTTATCTCAGGACTTAGAGGGCCCCAACCCACGGCTATAAACAGGACGCGAGGGAGAACGAGGAACTCATCACCGTTTCACCTGCATTTCTTCTCCAATCCCGCGGCCACAGACTTCCCCCCTCTCCTCCTTCTCTGGCCGCGAATGCGCCGGGTGGACCAAAGATGTTAAAGGCTGTGGGTGGTTCGATATCCGCGGGTACCAGGGAAGATACACTTGGTCTTTACTGACGCCACGCTGTACCCAGGCTCCTACTGCGATGGTTCCTCGACCCCCCTCTAGAGAGATACCCGCCGTTGCAAACGCAAAAATTTCAAGAGCATCTATATGATCTGCTGGGCAACCGCTATTACGAGTTCTGCGGAAGAAAGTATGAAGAATACATAAACGCTAGTGGCGGTGCGGGAGTAGTTAGCCGGATGAATTGGCATAAACGCTCTGTTTACTTGCAGCCAATCAGTGATGTCTCCCAGGGCTGACCCACACGCAGAAATAAGTTTGAAGAAATGAGCATGGAAGCTTGTTCTGCAGTCACATAATAAATCGCCGGTGTACCGTAGCCCCGGTGAGGAAGACCAGATGAGGTTTATGTGGGTACTAGGTCCACGTGGTCTGACTACGTACGTGCTTGCTCATAGTGGCAAATTAAATCAATGGAAAAACTACTTTACTTCATGTTGGTCATTAGTTTTCACCTCATAGAGCATTTTTATAAGAAGAAGATGGGTAGCCGTTTGTGGTTCGAAGTTTGTCTCCTCCCTATAATTTTATGGGGTCAAACCACCTGCCGTCGGGATGCTGATAACCGGATGTAATTTCTATGGAATAACACGTTATTAGAGACCACTCAGTTGCATCAGAGGGGGCACGTTGAGCTCCCTGGAACTTTTGGGGAATGGAAACCCTACATATTCGGTACAGGGGTACTTCACGAACATGTTTCGTTGACAGATTGTAAACTGATCATGCTCAGAAATGCGTGTAACTTTTCTATTGAACGGCAGCAACCCTTCATCCAGAAGGTTTCACCATTGGTGTTTTAGGAAGCATAAAGACTGTAAAGTCACCTGAGTAAATGGCATCAAGTGAAAAATGACTTCAAATATATGTCTGTAGATGTATGAATTAATGTTTCATGGGTCCTAATAAAATGTCCACGAATTAACGGTCTAATTATCGTCACAAAACTTTTACCCTGCACGCAGGCTTCTAGTCAGGTTCGTTATGGCGTAAACTCTCAACACTTCTCAACGAGATGTCATATCCAAAGAATAAGAAATTCCTTGGGACAAAAAATTCTAATGTCGTAGTCTGTAAGCGTGGTTTAGTGCAAGGACCGAAAGGCATCCTCAAGCAGATGATTGCTGTCAGCTGCCCCCCTGATGCCGTGACCTATAGTTCCATCATCTGGGGCTTATGCAACAGTGGCAGGGCCGGGGAGGCAGAGCGGATACTGAAGGAGGCAGAAAGAAGGTGGCTCACATTGACAGTCTTGAGCTACACCCCCCTTATTCACAGGTACAGTCTCCAGGGGAAGGTCCTCACGGCCTCCAACCTACTCTTGGAAATGATGGAAAAGGGGCATCCTCCAGACCGGGTTGCATGTGGCGCACTCATCCATGGGCTCGTTAATTCAGGAGAGATCCAGGCAGCGTTGTCGATCAGGGGGAAGATGATGGAGCGAGGTGTGGTGCCTGATGCGGCAATCTTCAATACTCTGATCAGTGGGCTCTACAAGAAGGGGATGGTCCCTGCTGCAAGGGATCTGCTGGTGGAGATGCTGAACCTCAACATCCTCCCAGATGAGTTCATCTATGCCACCCTCCTTGACGGGTTCATCAGGAATGGTGACCTGTCCGAGGCAAGAAGACTGTTCTGCTTCTTGGGTGAAAAGAGCATTCCCCACGGCGTTGTCGTCTACAATGCAATGATCAAAGGGTACTGCAGGTTTGGGTTGATGAGCGAGGCGATCTTATGCGCTGATGAGTTGAAGAAGAAAGGGATGCAACCTGATGGATTCACCTATACGACACTCATTGATGGCTATGTGAAACAGCATGATATGAATGCAGCTCTGAGAGTCTTTACTGAGATGAAGAGGCAGAGATGCAGACCCAATGTTATCACCTACTCGGCCCTGATCAATGGGTTCTCCGGGGAAGGAAATTTTGAGAGAGCCCAGCAACTTATCAGGGGCATGCGATCAGTCGGTCTGGTCCCAAATGTTGTGACACATAGTATCCTTATCGGCAATGCATGCAAAGCTGGCGAGCTTGAAAGAGCTGCTGTTTTCTTCAAGGAAATGCTGCTTGACAGGTGCTGTCCTAATGATGTGACCTTCCATTACCTTCTCAATGGGCTTGTCCATGCCGTTCCCCACCTTCATGCAGTGGATGAAGATGGGCTTCATGGGTATGAGGGCTCCTTGCTGTTGGAGATGTTCAGAAGCATGATTGCAGATGGTTGGGATCCCTGGTTGGCTGCTTATAATTCCATCATTTTGTTTCTCTGCCAGCATCGGATGCTCAAGTCTGCACTGGAGCTGAGGGATAAGATGCAGGCCAAGGGATGTGCGATGGATGCTGTCACATTTCTCTTCCTTCTTCACGGTTTTTGTGTGGAAGGGAGATCTAGTGAATGGGGTGGTGTTCTTGGTTGTAATTTTCAACGGCAAGAGCTGGAGATTTCCCTGAAGTATACTCTCTTGCTGGACAGGCACACCAATCAGGGAATCAAGTCTGAGGCCTCGGCGATTTTCTCATCCTTGTTTGAAGATCTCAAGTCTGAGAAAGGGTTGAATTATGGGTAAATGCCCATACTTACCGTTTTGAAGAAGGGTTGGAATTTGTTGAATTTGCACACTCAGAAGAGCTTGGTGCACTCCAGGGGACTCTGTGTACCAGGTTACCATTATGTCTTCTATTGGATGCTGAGAACGGGAATACAAGCTGAGTTCAGGGGCTCTTACAGGAAATGGCATTTCCCAGATTTGATCCCACATGCTTAGATCTGCCAGGAAATGTTACCTGTAAGTGCTTGGACAACCTTCGTGCCATCGCATAACCTAATTTTTGTCAATTGTCAGTCTAACGATGTAATTTCTGATATTTTTGGCGTACACCTTGTGATATTGATTCAATCTGTGGCTTAATAGTAAGGAACTCACTGTTAATAGAGACACTACAGTAAACAATGGCATGAGCAATGGCCTAGGCAATCCTTGTTGAAGGAAGACCTCTTGAACCTCGCTCGATAGTGTTTGTGATAAAAGCCCAGGGTTAATCACCATAGCACTATGGATGATACCTTTCCTTTCATGAGAAGAAAATGTGGTGAAATAAGCATCATTAAATGGTAGCTGAACCTGTAGGCAGTGAATCAAATCATTTTATAGTCTTTCCTATCATATATTTTGATGCCTAAAACCAAAAAGGCGTCCCATTTTGGGCTCTTTTCTTTCCCAGCATATCATAAGATTGACGTCCTTGAAAATCAGTACTCCTCACAACCCAGAGAACAGGTAGGACTCTCGGATTATGTCTTGGGGCAAATGCTTTTGATACATTCTTCAATTGCATCTCATATTTTCTAGATTGCCCCAGGCTTCTCTATTAGTCTTTCAGCCTAGGGCAGGAAGATGATGAGTTGACACCATGGCCTTTTGACTAGCCTGAACTGCTTGCTCGCCTTTTGACACCATGATGAGCAAAACATTCTTATTTGCTCATTTTAATTATTTTTTAAGTCTATAAATAACTAATAATGTTAAATTAAGAATACTAGATCCAGTGACTTTAATACGTCATCATACAGTTATTTGAGGGTTATTTAATTCTGCTGATTTATTTCATGAGCTGCCTCCAGAAGGGACATTAATGGTCTACAGCGACCTGTGAACCATGTATAATTATGTCAGTGAATGAGCCTGAGCAATTCGATACTATGTATTTGAATTAAACTTCATGATGCATGTATGATCTCCCCGGATTCCACATCTAGTCCTCTTTCCCCCTACAATCTATAGACATAAATATTGATGTCCTGTCATATTGCTTTGAAGGATGGGCATTTAGATTGTTGGCATCGTCACCCGAAGACTATTTATTCTGCCAAGATCCAGAAATGCCTGATGTGAGGAAGGATTAGATTACGGGGTGCTCTCGCAGATGGTAATGTCCTGAAAGTTTTTCTCTTCACACAATCGACAGAATTTTTCGTAACTTGTAACTTTCATTTTCAGTTAATTATATACTACTCACTGGGCAATAGCAACAAGCCGACCATATCCTCGACAGTTAAATGCCTAATGTAGATTCAATGGAGATGAATTGGATCTCTTTATAAAGATTTAGAAGGGGCATTAGAGCACGCAGAAGAATTGAGTTGCTAGCACTGAGTTGGGTGGTTCAATTGCTGAAATAGGTGTATTTTATTCCTTTCTTTAAGAACTGATTCGAAAATATATTGATATGATATAATAATTTAGGCATTATGATTTGAATATTTCATGTTGAATAATAGTGTGTAATATTTTTGTCTTTTGTCTTGATTTATTCCAGTTCAAAAGAAATGTAATTGATGTAATTACTGGGCCAAGATTTTAACTGAAATTTATTTTAATATTGGGCCTAATTTAAGTTGAAATTGATTTTTGTATTGGCCTGGATTCAAGTTTAAATGGATTTAATTTTCGGGCCTGAATTTTTTTGATTATTGGGCCTTATATTTTAGTCGTACTGGATCCACGGTAAATGGGTGCCATTAAAACAATTACTGAACAACAATTTATTTCTCGGGTCCATAAAGATCCGTAAATAAGCAACTACTGTACTATTTAATATTAAATTGTCCCTCTTTTTAAATGCTCTTTTGTTCTCTGTTACTGAATTCAATGTCTCATATTCTTTAATATTAAATTCTCCCTCTTATTCTGCGCTGTCTTATTCTTTAGTATGGATACCTTTCTTTCTCAATACGGTTTATCGTTATATTAATTTTCATATATCTCTCTCTCTTATTACATTAATCATCTCTCTCTCTCTCTCTCTCTCTCTCTCTCTCGTTAGCTACAAAAATAAGTGTGGAAATTGTTACATCGTTTGCAACTGCGACCAGTCCCTGGCAATTATTATCGCTTGACTTGAAACTAAAACTTGTACAAAATCCAGAATATTTTATGCTACAGTTAATGCCTTTGAATGTATCCAGGATTATTTCTCTATTTCTTAAATATGGTGTTTTCAGTGTACCTTTGCTTGATTTAGTTATAAAATTTCCGTCTTCATATTAGAATGTTGTCCATCACTCTCCACAAGGAAAGTAAAACGAAAGCTGCGATGGTCAGTAACAGAAGCTAATCATTGACTAGAGAACTAAATGAATCTTCACAAGGTTTTCTTTGACTCAGTGGACCATATGATAGATTACCTACAGATTTTACTTGGTCTATTTCAAAATATTAATAGACATTCTTCAATATTCTTTTGCATCGTTTAATTTTTTAGTCGGGCATAGATGTAGGTATCCTCCTGCTCTCATGTATTGTATGTCCACTTGTTGAAATATCCTTCACATGCGATAACACAATAAACCCTGGGCTTTTATAACGGTTAAATATTAGGATAACACAAGAAGCCGTCTATCTTTCTGTGTAGTGATCTTGTCCCCCTTATTTAATCCCACAGTAACGAACAGAAAACCCATGTCAAGGAAAATAGAAAACGTATCTTTCGCCACGATTGCTCTGTAATAATTCATATATTCGTTAATTCTCGTTGGTCAGGTGAAACGTGTATTCTTTTCCTTTCTCTTTATTGGTCATTCTTAATTGTACAGTGAATTTCCCTTCAGGTTGCCTTAATGAACTTAATGGCATTAACGACGATTACAGGACAGATCGTATGGAAATGTATATCCAGGCAAATATCTGTAGCTCTTTACGTGTGTACGCATGTTTGAGATGGGACAGATTGCTTGGACTGGATTGCTCAGAATAGCCCTTAGAATCGAAGAAGAAAGAGTGATTTCCTGTACCGAAGACCATGCCAAAGCTTTGGATGTCGCGTCGACACCTAGTGATTTCGTTTGGACAGAAAGTACGTTTATTCAGCACAAGAAGGCTGCCGTGCTCCTTTATTTTATAGGATTTATTTATGGGGGCCCATTACTACACGATCAGAGCACTAACCGGAAGCCAGTTCCGTAGACACCTCAGGGCTAGCATATTAGGCGGATGCTTCTGGATGGGAAGGGGGGGAAGCAACGCCTGCGGTTGCTGGCGACGGTGATGAAGGGGACTTGGCAGTTGAACCGAGGGTAGAACCTGGCGACTTGGCCCCCGAAGTAGTTGAAGAAGTAGCCCCTGTAGACGGGGCCGAAATTGTAGCACACACCGCATGACCCACGTATGGGTACCCTGCAGAGCGGCGCCCGGTAAAGCGTTAGGGTGCTGGCTGACGCGGGGCCAACTGCGGCGGCTGCGATAAGTAACAGGAGAATGTCAGCTGCCGCGGCGACCGGGGTCTTCCTGTGGGTGGCCATATCCTTCACGGGGCCACGGCCGGACTCGAGAATCTGAGGATCGGGGCACGTCAGGAGGGGTTGCTCGTCGAGCGATGATGAGCTGCTGTCACCCGTGCCCGATCCATGCTGTTTATAGTACGCGAATCGTTCAAAGTGTCGACGGATTTCGCCATCAGTGGTAGACGTGAATAGTAGGACACTCGTTAGTCTCATTTAACGTTTGGCGAACAGGTCATTGTATCATTTTATCGCTGACCTTTTCGTCCGCTCCCATCACCCAGAAGATACGGAGCCCAAGGAAGGATTGAAATGTTTGTCACGCTGCTCGTGGAAAGTCGTTCATTATTCCCTTCCAGTCCTCACATCCGCTTGTGCCCTCCTATTTTAGGTACATTCAAGTACGGAGGATTTCATAGTGTAATTTTTTTAGAAGTAATGCGATTCGACTCTGAGGTTACTATGGCGGTGGTCTCCCCGTCTCTAGTTACCTATTTTCGTCCTAGTCTCCTGTTTCTTATAGTAGCGAAAATCTTTGACGTCCGTAACAGCGATAAATGGTACAGAAACTTGTGGGCAATAAATAGGCAGCAACAGTCGATGCCGGTGCAACAACCCGTATTAAAGGGTTATTGACTTCATTATAACCTTCTAACTGGCTCAAATCATGACATATTTGAAGTACCTCGCGATTTCCTTCCGTAATATCGTCAACGCCATCGAAACGATAGGCAGCTGGCTGTTACTTACCGTTCCGAGCTCGTTTGTTACCCCCTCCCAAGCTCTTCTGATCCTTTCGTGTGGAGCGGATCCGCACCGCTAGCAGTTGGTTGAGCGGATACGCTGAAGACCTGCGGATCAAGCAACGAATCGGCGGATAAACGGGGAAGCGCTGGGATGGCTCTCCCATCTAAATGAAGATCAGGGGCATCCTCCAGATCAGGTTGGCTGCGCTGCTCTCAGCCATGGGCTCGTTAATTTAGGAAAGATTCAGGGGGAAGATGATGGATTGAGGCATGGCGCCCAATGCAGTTGGTCACTGGACTCCGCACGAAGAGGATGGTCCCTGCTGCAAGGGATCAGTTGGTAGAGATGTTGAACCTCAACATCCTCCCGGATGAGTTCATCTATGCCGCACTCCTCGATTGGTTTGTCAGGATCAGTGACCTCACTGAGGCAAGAAGACTATTCTGCCCCTTGTTGGGGTACTAGCCACTACGTCCCTCTCACATGGTAAGAGATCCCTGAGGAGCGGCCCAAATGGTCTCTTGGGGACTGTTAACCTGTCAACTGACAGCGGCTCAGAACTGTGAAATGCGGTGGTTGGCCTGTTATCACCGGAACAGAGTGAAGAGGAACAGAAGCTTTCGGGTCGTCAAGGCTTAGGACCTAATGGATGAACTAGAGATGGTCAACTTAGGGAACACAACAGAAAAGTCGACGCCTTATAAGAGACCACCATTACCTGAAATAAGTTAGAGTCCCCACCGGAATCCTGAAGATTAGCGTTCTATTACCTCTCAATGGGCTTTTCCATGCTGCTTCCTGCCTTTCAACTGTCGGTGACAATGGGCTTTATGGGCATATGGGCTCCTTGCTGTTTGAGAAGCTCAGAAGCATGATTGCAGATGGTAGGGATCCCTGGTTGGCTGCTTATAATTCCATCCTTTTGTTTCTCTGCCCGCATCGGATACTCAGGTCTGCACTGGAGCTGAGGGATAAGATGCAGGCCAAGGGCTGTGCGATGGATGCTTCTTCACGGTTTTTGTGTGGATGGTTTTCTTGCTTTTAATTTTCAGCGGCATCTGCTTGAAGATCTCAAGTCTGAGAAACGGTTGAATTACGGGTAAATAACCATACTTACCACTTTGAAGAAGGGTTGACATTGGTTGAACTCACTCAGAAGAGATTGGTGCACTCCAGGGGACTGTCTCCCAGATTTCCATTAAGTCCTCAATTGGATCCTGAGGACTGGAATAAAGGCTGAGTTCAGAGGCTCTTACAGGACATGGCATTTCCCCGTTTTGATCTCGCATGCTTAGATCTGCCAGGGGATGTTACCTATAAGTGCTTGAACAACCTTTGTGGTATCTCATAACCTAATCTTTGTCAACTGCATGTCTAACCAGGTAATTTCTGACACTTTTTGCGTACACCTTGTGATTTTATTTCCAGCTGTGGGTTAATAGGAAGGAACTCACTGTTATTGAGGCATTATGGTAAAAAGTTGCATGAACCATAGAAGATATTGTTGCGAAGGAGTTATTGATGGAACAATGATTCAATTTAGCTTTGGCAATTCTTGTTGACAGAAGATCTCTTGTATCTAACTTGATAGTTTTTCAGCGGCTGCCATCAAGTAGTAGGAAAGTGCCTCTTCATCCATATCAGGATTGCTCTTCATCAAGTAGCAGCTGTCGATTTGTATTCTGTTTTCCTGATTTGACTTAAAACTTTTCTGATAGAACCCTGGGTTAACCGCCATAGCTCAATGAATGATACATTTCCTTTCTTGATAAGAAAATGTGCTAGAATACACATCATTAAGCGGCAGCTAAAACTGCAGGCAAGGAAGCCCATCATTTTTAGTCTTTCGTATCTTCCATTTTGAACCCTAAAACCAAAGAGAGAGTCATTTTGGACTCTTTTCTTTCCCCGGATATCATAACATTGACATCCTTGAAGACCAGCACTCCAAATTCTGAAAACAGATTGGGCTCTAGGATTATGCCTTAGGGCAAATGCTTTTATACATACTTCACTTGGATCTTATACTTTCTAAAATTTCCTGGGCTTCTCTATTTGTGTTTCAGCCTAGAGCAGGGGGATGTTGAGGTGTCACATTGGCCATTTTACTTGCCAGAATTTCTTGCTTGAATAGGCAACTGAGCTCTCTCCTCCACGCATTTGCCTCACTCTGAAGGGCATTCTAGCATGTAGTTATGTAACACATTTGTAACCCTAGAAGTTTTTATTATGATTAAAATCCTGACTGAATTCATCTGCTACACTCTTGCAAAGCATTCCTTTTTCCTCATTTTAATTGTTCATAACGTACATAAAATCTTACGTTTAATTATTTATTCAATCTATAAATAACTAATTATCTGAAGTAAAAGAATACTAGAGCCAATGACTTTAGTACGTTGGCGTGCATGTATTTCTCATTAATTAGGTATTTGAAGGTTATTTAATTGTGCTGATTTATTTTATAACTTGTCTCGAGAAGGGACGTTAATGGCTTCCAGCGACCTGTGAACCATGTATAATTTATGTGGGCGAATGAACCTGATAAATTCGATACTATGTATTTTACTTTAATCTTCATGATGCTTGTATAACCTCGCCTGACTTCACATCTACTTCTCCCGCCCCCTAAAATCTGCGGATATAAATTTTGATGTGCTGTCATATTTCTTCGAAGGATGGGACTTTAGATTGTTGGCATCGTCACCTGAAGATTATTTTTTCTGCGAAGATCCAGAATTACCTGATATGAGGAAGGATGAGAGCCGGGGGTGCTCTCAGAGAAGGTAACGTGCTTAAAAATTTTCTCTTCATGGAGTTGACAGAATTTTTCCCAGCATGTACCTTTCATTTTCAGTTCATGATATAGTACTCACGAGGCAACAGCAGGCAAGCCATAGCTTGAACCGTTATTGTAATGGATTCAAAGGAGATGAATTAGCTCTATTTTTAAAAATTCAGAAGAGTCATAAGAGCGCGGAGGAGAATTCAGTTTCTGGCTCTTAGTTCGGCAGTTACATAGCTCAACTGGTTGTACTTTAGTCTTTCGTTTAAGTATTGATTTGAAAAGTATATTAATATGAAAGTCATCAATATCTCTACTTAATTTTAAGATGATATAATAATTTAGGCATGAAAATTTGAATATTTCATATTGAATAATAGTGTGGATTATTTTTGTATTTGTCTTGGTTTATTTCAGTCTAACAGAAATTTAATTGATGTAATTATTGGGTCTGAATTTAATTTGAAATTGATTTTATTGTTGGGCTGATTGAAGTTTAAATTGATTTTATTATTGGTCTGTATTGAAGTTTAAATGGATTTAGATTTCGGGCCTCAATTTACTGCAGCTGTAGTTGGCTTTGAAGCCGGGGGGACCCTTTTATGGATTGAACAAACTTATTTGATTATTGGGCCTTATTTTTAGGCGTATTTGATCCAAGGTAAATGGGTCTTATTAAAGTTATTGGCAGGGGGTCCGGCAGCAGCGGATGTTCCGGCGGATGAGGTCGTAGGGACCTTGGCAGTTGAACCGAGGGTAGAACCTGGCGACTTGGCCCCCGAAGTAGTTGAAGAAGTAGCCTTTGTAGACGGGGCCGATGTTGTAGCACACACCGCATGACCCACGTATGGTTACCCTGCAGCCGAGCAACCAGTAAAGGGTTAGGGTGCTGGCTGAAGCCAGGCCAACGGCGGCGGCTCCGATAAGCAACAGGAGAATGGCAGCTGCCACGGCGGCCGGGGTTTTCCTGTGGGTGGCCATATCCTTCACGGGGCCACGGCCGGACTCGAGAATCTGAGGATGGTGGCACGTCAGGAGGGGTTGCTCGTCGAGCGATGATGAGCTGCTGTCCCCCGTGCCCGATCCGTGCTGTTTATAGTACGCGAATCGTTGAAAGTGTCGACGGATTTCGCCATCAGGGGTAGACGTGAATAGTAGGACACTCGTTAGTCTCATTTAACGTTTGGCGAACAAGTCATTGTATCATTTTCTCGCTGACCTTTTCGTCCCATCACCCAGAAGATACGGAGCCCAAGGAAGGATTGAAATGTTTGCCACGCTGCTCGTGGAAAGTCGTTCATTATTCCCTTCCAGTCCTCACATTTGCTTGTGCCCTCCTATTTTGGGTACGTTCAAGTACGGAGGATTTCATAGTGTAATCTTTTTAGAAGTAATGCGATTCGACTCTGAGGTTACTGTGGCGGTGGTCTCCCCGTCTCCAGTTACCTATTTTCGTCCTAGTCTCCTGTTTCTTATAGTAGCGAAAATCATTGACGTCCGTAACTACAATAAATGGTACAGAAACTTATGGGCAATAAATAAGCAGCAACAGTCGATACCGGTGCAACAACCCGTATGAAAGGTTATTGACTTCATTATAACTTTCTAACTCGCTCAAATCATGCCATATTCGAAGTACCTCGCGATTTCCTTCCGTAATATCTTCAACGCCATCGAAACGATAGGCAGCTGGCTGTCACTTAGTCCTTTCGTTTAAGTATTGATTTGAAAAGGATATTAACCTGAAAATCAGAAATATCTTTACTTAATTTTAAGATGATATAATAATTTAGCCATTAAGTTTTGAATATTTCATATTGAATAATAGTGTGAAATATTTTTGTATTTCGTCTTGGTTTATTTCAGTTTAACAGAAATGTAATTGATGTAATTATTGGGCTTGAATTGAATTTGAAACTGATTTTATTGTTGGGCCTGATAGAAGTTGAAATTGGTTTTATTATTGGCCTGAATATATTGTGTGCTTATTTGATTATAGGGCGATATATTTAAGACGTATTGAGCCGAAGCTAACTGGGTCTCCTTAAAACCATCACGAAACCAACGTATTTCTCGAGCTCATACCAATCCGTAAATTAAGCACCCGAAATAAAAATGTTATTATTTATTATTGAATTATCCCTCTTTTTAAATGCTTACTTATCTTCTAATATTTTATTCTCTATCTTCTTAAATGCTCCCATTTTATTTAATATTAAATTCTCCCTTTTATTCAGAGCTCTCTTATTCTTTTGCATGAATATTTATTCTTATCTCTCTCTCTCTCTTATTAAATTAATAATCTCTCTCTCTCTCTCTAGCTACCAAAAAACGTGTGGACATTATCACTTGGTTTGCACCTGCCAATAGTCCTAGGCAGTTATTATCGCATGACTTGAACCTAAAACTTGTACAAAATGCCGTATATTTTATGCAATAGTTAATGCCTTTGTACATATCCAGGATTATTAGTATGTTTATGAAATATGGCACTTTTAGTGTACCTTTGCTTGATTTAATTATAAACTCTCTGTATTCATATTAGAATGTTATCAATCACTCTGTACGAGGAAAGTAAAATGAAAGCTGTGATGGTCAGTGACAGAAGCTAATCGTTTCACTAGAGAACTAAATGGCCCTTCACAAGATTTCTTTGACTCAGTGGACCGTAAGATATATTACCTGCAGATTTTACGTGGTCTATTTCAATATGTTAAGTAGACATTCTTCAATATCCGTTTGCATCGTTTTAAGTTTTTGCTTCGGCATAGACGTAGATATCCGCCTCCTCTCAGGTATTGTGTCCTCTTGTTTAAATATTCTTCACATGTGATAACAGAATAAACCGGGTTTTCTATAATGGTTAAATAATGGGATAACACGAAAAGATGTCTGTCTTTTTACGCGGTGATCTTGCCCCCCTTTTTAATCCCACCAGTAACGAACAGAAAGCCCTGTCAAGGAAATAGAAAAAGTATCTTTTACCATGATAGTTCTGTAATAATTCATATTTTCGTTAATTCTCCTTGGATTGGTACAAGGTGTAAATTTGAAATATTAAACTCAATATTAAATAATGGTAAACTAGAAATGAAAACCCCTTTATTATATTTATTCTCTTTTGTTCTCTATTGCATTGGCTGAAAAATAATATCTTATTTTGGAATCAAAGAAAGAGATTGAAAATTTTATTATTGAATTAAACTTTTCCTTTTTGGGGAAAGGAGTAGGAGTTTATTCCTATTCTTGTCCTTTCTCTTTAATGTCTCTGTTAAGTTTACATTGAATTCCTCATGAACTCAAACAGGATGTTGACTTGTCTATTTCCTGTTCTCAGCGGTTGTCCTTCTGTGCGGGAAACAAGATGAAGATGCTAAACACTGACTTGCCTCGGAGTGATGCACCGGCTCGTGGCTTTAATTGTCGCTAAGCCAGCAAGTACTTAGTAATAAAATCTCCTTCTATTCCTTTGTTTCTTTTGTTTTGTGGATCTTGAATTCCCTGCCTCATCAACTTCCCCAGAAAACTGTTCTGAATCAAAAGTGGTAGGGTAAAACCCTGAGCCCTCTCCATCTTTCACATATTCTTCCCAGCTTTCCTATTTCGGTATGTTTACTGTTGAAAAGGCGTTGTTCTACAATGTTGAAGTGAGCTCGATTCTAGTGTTACTGTTGAAAAGGCCATGCTTCAAAAACTACTACGCGGGAACCAAACATTAAATGATGCAACTTCGATAAGAAATTTACTTTATCATCTATGATAAGAAGCTATACTTTAATGGATAGCTGTTTACTTGTAGCAACGTGCCACTTGAACGTCAAACCATTGAATATCTGCGCTAAATTCCGTCCACGTCAGATTGACACGATGACTTTAATGGAAGTAAATACGATCACTGGAAAGATCAAATGGAAATGTATATCCAGGCAAGTATCTGTAGCTTTTTAAGTGTTTGAGCGTGTTTGAGATGGGGAAGAATGATTGGACGAGACTGGTCAGAATAAACCTTAGAATCGAAGAAGAAAGAGTGATTTCCTGTACCGAAGACGATGCCAAAGCTTTGGATGTCGCGTTGACACCTAGTGATTTCGTTTGGACAGAAAGTACGTTTATTCAGCACAAGAAGGCTGCCGTGCTCCTTTCTAACTGGAAGCCAGTTTAGTAGACAGCTCACGGGTAGCATGGTATGAAAAGGCTTTTATATCGGCAGGGGGTCTTGCAGCAGCGGATGTTCCAGCGGATGAGGTCGTAGCGGCCTTGGCAGTTGAACCCGTCGTAGAACATGGCGGCCTGGCCCCCGTAGTAGTAGAAGTAGTGGCCTTTGAAGACGTGGCCGATGTTGTAGCACACACCACATGACGCAGGTTTGTGTTGAATGCAACCCTGCTTAAGGTGAAGCGTTAGGGCGCTGGCTGACGCCGAGGCAAGGGCGCCGGCTGCGATAAACAAGAGGAGAACGCCAGCTGCCGCGCCGACCGGGGTCTTCATGGCGGTAGCCATATCCTTCACAGGGCCACGGCAGGACTTGAAAATCTGAGGATCGGTGCACGTCAGGAGGGGTTGCTCGTCGAGCAATGATGAGCTGCTGTCCCCCCTTGCCTGATCCGTGGTATTTATAGTACGCGCGTCGTTGAAAGTGTCCATGGATTTCGCCATCAGGAAGGGGAAGACGTTTGGCGAACAGGTCGCTGCATCCTTTTCTCTCTGACCCTTTCCTCCGCTTCCATCACCCAGAAGATACGGAGCCGACGGAGGGATTTGAATGTTTGTCACGCTGATCATTGAAAGCCGTTCATTATTGCCGTCCAGTCCTCACATCCGTGTTTGTGCACTTCTATTTAGAGTACGTTCTATTACGAATAATTTCATAGTGTAATTTTTGTTGAACTAACTCTATTCGATTTTGATGTTACTATGGAAGCGGTGTCCTCGTCTTTACTTAGCTATTTTCGTCCTAGTGCCTGGTTTCTCTTTGTTAGAAGGCTGCTAAGTATTTGCGTCCGTATCTGGTATAAAGTCTACAGAAACGTATGGGGAAAAATTAAGCAGCAACGATCGACAAACAGCAACTGCTATAAAGGGTACAGAATCTTACGAGGGATACATAAGCAGCAACTGTCGATGCCGGCACAACAGCCCGTATTAAAGGCTATGGACTTCGTCTTAACCTTCTAACTGGTTCAATGCATGCCGTATTCGAAGTACCTAGAGCTTTCCTTTTGGAATATCGTCAATGCTATCAAAAAGTTAGGCAACTGGTTGCCACTGGTTACCACTGGTTGCCACTTAGCCTTCTGAGCTTGTTTGTTTACCCCCCCACGAGCCGCCCCCCACTCCGAGAGAAACATCTTCGGATCCGCACAGGTAGCAGGGAATCTCGTGAATCCGTGCAACGGTTCGCGGTGAACCGGCGGATCAATTGACGGTTTTGATCGTCAATAAGCGCTGTCAATAAACGGGGCACCAATAAACCGTGAAATTGTGGGAGGGCTCGCCCCTATAAATGGAGAGGGGATTCGACCGTGGAGAGACGAAGTGGGTACTTCCCCTCCTGTATTCTGAGAGAGAGAATACCTTACACATTGGTGTAGAAAAGTCTTCCGCGGTGTGAAGAGGCTGCTGAGCGCCATCGAGGGCGACCAAAGCCGGTCTTGGGCGACAGCCGAGGACAGTTCGACCTTGACCATGTGGTCTAACAACATTTTACCGCTTGTATCCAACAACATCCTGTCGTTCCACGAACTATGATGCTATTAACATAGTGTAGAAGGGACTCTTCTACACTACCGTGGAGGCACGATCAACTCAAGGGATACCATGCACATATATATTGGTACGCTTGAGACCTTTTGCTCTTTAGGACGTCAGTGGGCACAATTCCTGGAAGATGGTCATTAAAGACGGGGAAGAAAACCTTCATGGTTGATCAATAGGAAGCTAGAAAGTTCAATGGATGAATCTTATTCACGGGCTGTCCTCAGGTTTGTTGCTGATGGGCTCGTCATAGATTTTTTTTTAATTGCAGTTTTCCACTTTAAGTTGTAAGCACTTTCAATTCTCTTGAAAGTTTAAAGCGTCCGGTGAAATGAGATGTAAACATAAGCTAGTGTAACAATAATCTTTATTTCTCCTCCGACATGGCCTTTGGTAGTAGAATATTCCAGAAAGATGCAATA